AGATTTGCTTCATCTGCCCGATCATGCAATTTAGTGTCCTGTGGTGGCCAAAAATACATACTTAATAATGCTTTTACTACTCTAACAAGGCATAAAATGGTTAGATACAAGAGCACAGATTTGCAAACAGTACGCTACTTAAAGGAACACTATTGTGTTAAGGAATACAAACCTGTATTCCTAACACTATGTTGCCCTTGTCCCTAATTAGATCAACCGTCTGTGAGCAATAAAAATAGTTTATTAAGCACCTAGACATCATCTGTGCTGCTGCCTGCTCTGCCTCCCGTGTCTTTGTCGAGGAGTGGTGTCCTCTGCGATCGCCCAATCCAACACTCCTCAGATGAGAACGTCCAACCAAATGCTTCTCATAGGCACGCACTGAATTCAATGGGCTCCTATAAGCTGCATTTGATGACGTCCAATGTCCTCATGGTTGTCGAATATCACTGGAAGTGCAGGGCTAAAACTTCAGGCCCTCTGCACCCAGACCACTGCATTGAGATGGAGTAGTCTAGGTGCATTAAGTCCTTTAAACCACTGTAGCGTCACCCAAAATGATCTCCTGCCCTCACCATACTGGAATAATCTGAACTTATCTTAGAGTCTCTTGTGTTTATTCACTAAATAAATAATGGGTGTAAAATTGATGTATAATTGTATAAACCTACGTTATATGGTTTGAGCCAGGCTTTGCAAGTCAAAGCAAGAGTGTACTTTCTATACTTTCACAAACCATTTGATACAATAAAATTATTCACTTACAGCTCCTTACTTCTAATTCATCAACAGTGCATAACACTGTATTATAACATGTTCAGCTTAGGAAAGATATGTGGTTACTGAAGTAAAGAGGAAATTTCTCTAAACTAGCCAGTGCTTGCAGAACTATGTGTAGTCTCACCTGTCAATACCAGTATCTAATTTCACCTCCATCTGCTCGATTATATCTTTCTTTTTCTGGAGACACTCTGTTAGCTTCGGAGATGAACTGCAAGAAAAAAAATATACATAAATAAAATCATGAATTTGAGAGACATCTGTATGTTCTACCTGCTCTAATCTCTAACAGGTTTTCTTATAAGATGATTATTAATCAAATCAGCGGCGATTACTGTATTGATCCCAGAAAGATGAAAGGAAGAATTGAGTTATTCTGATATTTGAACAAGCTCTACAAGTGAGGCAATAACCAACTGAGCTATATCATCGGTTTCTATGATCACTAAAATGACTAATCTGTATAAATTCAGATTGCAGTCTTACCTAATTAACGGCATGAGATGATCATTGAACTGCTTGTCGAATAAATGGAAAATTGTGTTGGCTTGATGCACAACATCGAAAAAATAGAGGCTGGCGTTCTTCGAATCAGGAGAAGGGATTGCTGAAATGGACAGAAAAGTGACAGTCAATACTAAGCAAGCACTTACTGTGTCCCAAACTATTCCAACAATTCTAAGCCTATCTCAGAACATAGAGAACGTGCAGAAGCACTCAAAGCAACACAACCACTATTGCTCATTATAGAGGTTATGAAACTACAAGATGATGGGAGCCTGCAATTTACTCAACAACCTACAAGCACATGAATAAAGTTTTTTTGCTTTGTTTTTTTCTTCTTAAAAACATGTTTGCAGCAGGAGTGCCCATTTGTGAGAATGCATTGGTGTATTTGTGTAGATTGTCAGGGCATGTAAAAACACAAGTGTATTTGTGTGGTAAAAAAGTATGTGTTAGTGCAGGGATGTATGTGTGGTGTGTCAGTGTGCAAATACAGACGTGTACGTGTGTAGTGCCTGTGTGTGAATTAAGGGGGTGTATTTCTGACATATACAGTACATGTACAGCTGTAAGTACAACACTTTTAACATGCACACATCAATGTCCCCTTCCTCCAGGTCACTTGTCAACTTAACATTCCTATTCCCTTATAATAAAATATCGCCCCTTCGCCACATAGTACTTTCTCACAATTTTCTTTAAACGTTTGAAACCCAGATGCCCTTCATCAACACTTGCAGACACTTTGTTCCATGAAGAGTACTGATATTTGTTGGTCTTGTATGGGTTAACCTTATATTTGCAACATGAACTGCACTACTAACAAGTACCCACACTTTTTATTTGACAGAAACTATGTCATTTCTACCATAAGTCTCATTGCTTTTCTCAGGAAAGAAGGCAAAAGATAAAACTAAACATTTTTCAAAGAAAGCTAAAAAGTCCCGCTTACCTGCTAGTCCAATTTCCAAAGCGTAATCAATGTGCTCAATGCATAAATAATCCACGAGAAGTAAAAATATTCTAAATGCCTTCTTTGGGAGATCTGATGGATCTGAAAGCTGGGGGAAAAAAAAATAACAGGCAATAAGTAGGAGGTATAAAAAAATATTGGAAAGTTAATGTTAAAGGGTCTTACGTGTGATTTGGATTCACTAATCTATAGTTTCTTTCCCTCACTCTCCTCTCTTGGGATGCAGGATCAATACACATGATTTTATTTTGTTTTAAATGTATCTCTATCTCTCCGCAGGCTAAATAGGAATAGTTTAAGGCTGTGAATTGCTGTACATTTTTTCAAATAGCCGCTTCATTTAGTGACACATTGGCAGGGGACCCCACGTAGGTCCTCGGGGTGTACTGGGTAGTATGGGGTCTCCCTTATGGCAAACAGTTATTAGAACTAAGGAGTACTCTCCCTAACCCACATTAGCTCGGGTGAAAAAGGGGGTGGCTTGAGGCCAAAAACAGAAAGGAAGGGAAAGTGATTGCAGTGCAGTGCCTGCCACAGGGGCTCTGATAAAGACTGGTGTACTAGAGGAACTCCCTTAGGGAATCTTGTTGGCGTAGTGCAGCAGGAAGTAGTACCTATTTTCAGTCTTTTTAGGCATAAAACCCCTCTTTTTAACCATTTTTGATGGGTTTAGTGTTTAGGATCTTGCTGGCACCAACATGCTTGAATGGTTTTCAAGCCAGATTAAACCCTGCTTATACAGGTCAGCGGTTGTCATTATAATGCCACAACTACCTCTGTGTGCTTTATTGTTTATTTTTTTGTAGAGGATAAGACTGGGGAAAGCAGGCCTTATTGTTTAAGGGTATAAACTACCCCAATATATTAAATGTGAAAACAAATGTTTGTTTGAATTAACAATACCATAGCATTAATAGATGAAAAGATTATTCTGTTGGTAGTTAATGAGCTAAATCGGTTTATAAGAAAGCACAGTATATTTGCTGGAACTCACTTTATGACACCTTTCAAAGGCATGTTTGGTTTCTTGTAGGAGGTTCACCACTACTTCTTGTGCCAAAAACGTCTCTCCATGTGTTTCAATACTAGGTCCCAAAGACAAATTTGTTCGCTGCCTAATCCTTTCTTTTAGGTCTTGAATCCTATGGTGTTTAGAAAATGAAATTGCATTACTATTAAAGTCTATTATGTGGCTTGCATTATCTACCTAGGCATCAGTTAAGAAGAATCCAGTTCATTATCGAGATTTGAATCAATTAGTGAAGAAAAATTGAGTATTTGGGAAACAATTTCTAACATTCTTGAGTTAATAATCACAAATCCCTGTTTGTTCGTACCCTACTTCACTTCCCCTGTGCCAACAAACTGTATTAGTTCATATTTCTACGTGTAAAAGAAAACAGCTATACTATATTTTCCTAGCTATTAAAATGCGCTAGTTTAGATATTTGAAAACCACTACTACCCCATAAAATAATTTTCGTTATGGAATTAAGTTTTATTTCTTTTTATATTTGTTTTTAATGGACCAGTTAAATTACTTAAAAGGAATACTCCACGCAACTGTAATGGTTATGGTGCCAGTAGTACCCTGGTGACCTCCTAGAGTAAAACAGTTTAAAGGACAACAGTCATAATATTACACTTCTATGTTTAAGTTTATTACATTTAATGTAACAACGATTTTTTTAAAAACTATGTATACAGATAATTTTTTTGGAGAAAATGTCACTTTTTATCTGGCTGAGCGGCCATGTTGAGTCAGACTCTATGGCAAGCATGTCAAACTCGCGGCCCGCGGGTCGCATGCGGCCCAGCGAATCGCAAGTACATGATGGTGTTATAGCAGAGTAGGCAACTGCTTTCCCCACATTGTAGGTGTCTACTCTGCTCAAACTTACCCGGCCGGGGGGGGGGGAAGGCCAGCGAGGGTGCTCAGTGTTCCTGCTCCTCACTGCTCCCTGGCGAGTGCAGTCTGTAGTGAGGCTGGGCGCGGGAATATATGGTCATATTCCGGCACCAGGAAGGAGATCTCCAGATAGAAGATCCCCAAACCAGCTCCCAAAGGTAGGGAACAATAAATTAAATTATGTGAGTGCAATAATGTGTGTCTGTGTCTGTGTGTGTGTGTGTGTGTGTGTGTGTGTGTGTGTGTGTGTGTGTGTGTGTGTGTGTGTGTGTGTGTGTGTGTGTGTGTGTGTGTGTGTGTGTGTGTGTGTGTATGTCTGTCGGTGAGTGAGTATGTCTGTGAGTGAGTGAGTATGTCTGTGAGTGAGTGAGTATGTCTGTGAGTGAGTGAGTATGTCTGTGAGTGAGTGAGTATGTCTGTGAGTGAGTGAGTATGTCTGTGAGTGAGTGTGTGTGTGTGTGTGTTGTATTGGCTGCGACTGGACAGTGGAGTACCCAGAGGTGCATGGAGGCACGCAACGCCACGTGACATCGACGTGCTCCACCTTCACAGAGTTTCAAGAAGTAGTGGGAGGATCAGATTTGGCACAGGGTGGTAGAGGGGTGGGACGACTGGGATTTAGTAGGAGGGGTGGGACGACTGGGATTTAGTAGGAGGGGTGGGACGACTGGGATTTAGTAGGAGGGGTGGGACGAATGGGATTTAGTAGGA